TATACATCCGTTCATGTCCTTCAACATGAGTTCAGAGACATAAAACATTGAATAAGAAATCACACCTGGAATTCGTGTGGCTGTAACTTGTTTTCTTTAGCTCTCTTCGCAAGTGAAACAACATCTGAATTTATCTTTCCTAGTCCCTATAAAAATACTTTGTCTTCAGACGTAACACAACAGAGTAAAAAATCACATCAAATTGAAATGTTTTATTGCACAGACAAAAAATATAATGAAAGTTAACATATTTACAAACCTTTTTATCTGCATTGAAAACTATAGGCGTAATCAAACCAGAATCTGTGCTTACAGCAACACTGATGTCAACATTGTGATTTCTGTAAATCATACAAAACTCCTTAGTAAGTTAGAAATTTCAGCAACAATGCCTCACTATACGTCTACTTGATGAATAACAAATATTCATAAAAATGAAGAAGATTTCTATTTCAACAAGCAATGTAAATTCAAACATCACACTGAATAAATTCAAGAAAGTAGCATTTTACTTACTGTCTGATAAACTCGTTCATCCAATAGGAATTTGCTTCGGAATTTGTTTACACGATAAGGCTGATGCCTTTATGATGAAATCATTCACAGACAACCTATACTCAGACTTTACTAACTCATTCAACTCTTTACGAAGTCTAAATAAATAAAAATGTAAACAAATCTTTAGTAACACTATGACATTAAATAACCAACCAAACCCTTACAAATTGACACACCAGAAACCCTCACATGGTTGTATATAATTAAGTATAAAGTTTTAGTTATTATTGACCAACAGAGGTCGGTTGCACGAAGCCTGGATAGCGTTATCCACTGGAGCAAATTTTTCTGAACGTTCATAAATCTCATCAAGAAAAATATACGATTTGAACTGTGCAATCGCTGAAATAAAATATTGTTTTGAAGATTACAAAATTTCTTTGTTCTGAGAAAATATAAACATCTTTTTACAAGTTTGAAATTTTTGCTATCCATGGATAGCTTATCCAGGCTTCGTGCAACTGCTCCAGAGATTTTGCTCATATTGGAGCATTGCTATAATTTTCAGAAAGTCACAACACAACATCTCAGACACAAAGTTTTGCGTATTTGCCAAAACTCAGAGCAGGAATTCAAATCAACTTATGACTATCGAATGATGGTCTTTGTTTAATTTAGCAAAAATCAAGCCGTTCAGGGGGAGTTTCTGGTCATACTGAATAAGTGTGAGTGAGTTTTTAGACAAGGGTGAAACGACAAAATCTTATCTATGGTGCAAACTCCCCAACAATGTCTCCACACACAAATCTATGCACAAAGTTGCAAACACAACTATGGTTCACCTACATAGAGTCTGTCCAAGCCAAAATTACAGTCTATTCCATTTAGTAAATTTATTTACTCATTCCATTTACTTAGTAAATCATACTTACTCAATAATGTTATCCATGCGTATATCCACAGATAAATAGTAATGTGGTATAGTTTGTTTTGATTCTAGTAATCTTTTAGCAATCACCTACAAAATAAAAAAAATGTGTTGATCCAAAATCCATTTCTTAGATGATGGACCTTGCCCCAATTATCAACTGAATTGTGATTTTTAAAACCAAATATACCTCACTAAATAACAAGTTTCAAGAATCTTGAGCCCAAAGATAAAACTTTTTAAATTGTGGCATCTATTTTCAAAATTTGCCCAGTCATTAATCCACAACATCTAAACAGTCTGTTTATGTACATTACCTTTCTAACATTTGATAAAGGAATGTCAGTAAATTCTTCTTCTGAAAAATAAAAACATGCATATTTGCATAAATTACCTTTATTCTTCAAATACAAATATTACAAATTTATGTTCATTATTCAAGACAACATGAAATTTTCAGACTAACAAGTTCATTTTAAGACAGTGAATCACACTGGATAAAAAACAACATGAGTTTTCAACTTGAAATTTTCAGTTACAGGTTTAATTGAAATTTAAAATGCCCTCCCTGTTAATCAAAATTAGCAAAGCCTAATTCCTGTTATGTTGATCATTTTTGCCATAGTAATTGAGAGATTGTTGTGGAATGCTTTGAATGCTAGTTCCCACATCATTAGCAACAATCCTCCCATCAGGACCAGTTCGGACAAAGACTAAAAAACATGAATTAAAATGATTTAAACATAGACAAAATGACAGCCATCTAACTGCTAGAAGAGAAATTTATTTGATCAATATTCCAAATCTGTAACAAATGAATTTTTAATGTTGAAATATTTAATGTTATACATATGTATGATTAAAACCAAGTCAATATTACAAATATGTTTTGACAAGTAAAACAGTACATCTATTTCATGGTTCAATATCAACTTTTCCGGTATTTTCCAATTAAGAAGCTGATGGTGAATACATGACAAGAAACCTTTTAGAATTAGCTTACGGTAAATCAACACCTTTCTCTTTTGCAAGTTTCCGAGCAAGCGGACTTTGCACTCCCAGTTGTGAAGATGACACAGCTGGCGGTGAGTCAGGAGTTGTGGTGCTGGCCACAGGAGCTGGAGTAACAGATGGGGTGGTTCAACTGGACTATCTGATGTCTTTGAGATGAAAAATAGAAAGTGAACAGAAATATTTGATATGAGGGTCATAGAATACCTAAGTACCTGAATACTATGAGTACCTGAGATTGAGGTGTCCCACTGTCATCATCTGTAAAGTCTTTAAATGCAGCAACATCTTCCTCATTTTCAACAATAATACAAACCAACTAAAAGTTGATAAATGAAGTATTAGTAAAATAATATGAAATAAATAATAACTTAACTTGTTATCATAATAAGAGAACAAAAGAATTTATAGTTTTTTATTTGGTGCAGGTAGTACTACTCTTCATTAAAAAGTTATCAATCTAACCATTAAAAAACAACAAAACAAAGCTACCTTTCAACAGGAAGGTCTTTTGAACCAGCAGGAGCAACAATTTTGCAGAGTAGCCTTCATCAGGTGTTTCAAAATCCATTGTAGCTTTTATCTGTTTCAATTTGTGTAAGGACATCCCCTTCTTCTAACTTTTCACCTTCTTCTTTTAGCAACTAGCCACTATTGAGTCATCTTTCAGTAATGTGAAAACTGATTGATAAATGTGTGATGTCCACGATACGAAACTAATTGTCACTCAGCTTATCCTATAAAAATATCTTTAAAAGGTTTTAATAATCATAATGATTAATAATAATAATAATAATATAGAACAAAACTGAATGCAAACATTAGACTTCAAGCCACAAAGCAGCTACAGCCCAGCTGCAAGAGACCAGAAGCGCAAAACAAAGAACAGGTATCATTAAATATTATTGTTATATCAATGCAATCATCAGACGGGTACCGTGCATAATCTTGACAGGGAAGTAAATGAAAGTCTCTCATTCCAAATAAATATTATATAAATGTATGCATTTTGCATGATACATATCGTAAATTTGATTAAATTTCGATAACGCAAAGGTGGAAGTTTATGTACAATTATTTACCCGCCATAATAATGGTCATATAATCATTAAACTTGAGTCAATTACGAAGATAAAAGTTGCAAATTGTATTTGAAGCTGTCTTATTGTTGCAAATCAAAATCAACAGACAGGTAAGTTGAGATCATGTATTTGCATTGCATGGTTACAAATCTTATGATTTTAGACTTAGTTTGTACACTGGACAGACAATGATAACAGCATATTACGTTTGTTGAATTCCATTTTAAATTTTGATGTATAGATATGTATTTAGGGACATTGTTCCAGCTGGATCTTTGGCCATGGCCTTTCAATGCAAGTTTACCTTCAAAAGTAAACTTGTCCATCCAACTAGCTCAATGTAAATAGTTTGAATTTTTTCAGACAACAGATGCTTCAAATATCAGGAAAATATCTTATAGTATTTTAGCTTTTGCAACCTTTATGTGCGTTGTCTGGACATATAAAAAATTGGTGAGTTGAAATGAGTGTGAAGGTCTTGGTCGGCTGTCGTTCCATTCACTGTTGATCATAAATATTTTGTTCAACCTATTGTCTTGGTGTTGAAATCAAATCAGTAACTTTTCATTTGTTTACAGCGGTTTCAAAATATCATCTTCACTAAGTTAATGAGTGATGGTAAGTAATTACAGCATGTGTTTGGCATTATCATTTGTTTTTAGTACGTATAAAAGAATGAATGTAAAAATCAAAGAAATTTTTTTAATATTTTAACAGCCCTCAAAAACTCAAAGTCACGGTCAATCACAGGAGATGATACTAACTTGACAAGGAGTTCCCGAGATACAACTAACATTTTTACATACAAAGAACCGGAAGTCGCAGGTCAGGGTACTTTCGATGAGATGAACGCTATAAATTACACATGTCTAGTCAAGGAGTTGTGTGTAAAATATACGTCACTTTGGAGGAGTTTATAGGAAGATAAAAATCCACCAGAATTTGATCCCGACGGAATGTGGTACCTCTGCCTTGATCCTGAAGTTAAACTGAAGAGAGGATCTTGCATTGTCTACTCCATCGGGTTAGATGCAGTTGTAGCTATGTACAGAAGTCATCATAAATCCAAAAAATATGCTAAATTTTTAATGTTCAGTCTGCATAGAGGAATTTTTGGAAATAAATTCCATTTCTTACTTGAATGCACTTTGGAGACCATCGTGCTGTATGTTACACGAATTCATAATATCCATGTTCGCTTTGCCAAACAAAGATTTGCATGCATAAATACATTTTCTACACTGTAGTTTTTTAAACATAACTGACCATTATAGCAAAGTCAGCCTTCCTGTTTTAGTCATGCTATAAAAATTTCAGAGCATTAACATTATTAATTTCTTTAAAAATATATATTGTTTTTCCAGTGCGGAACCTAGAAAAAGTTGCAGCAGGATCAATTGCCAGTACATAAAATTATCAATAAGCATTTGACTTGGTACTATATAATTCGTAAAAGTCTGAAAACTTAACTAGGCAAGTAATAACTTTCTTTGGTATTAGCATTAAGTACCACAATTAGCATTTCTCAATCCTGGTTGGAACAAAATAACAATATACATAAAATTTCTCTAACATTGCTACATAATGTCAGAGCGATTTCTGTGTTACTATATCACTGCATTAACTAATGAAATTTATGATCTTTCTCAAAATGTGCCAACGAATGGTCCTTTGATGATAGTATTGCAAACTATGGATGCCAGGTGTTTTCTTTTGATCCATCCATGCAGCAAAAAGACCATTTTCATTCGCCATACGTACAGTTTTTTCGACTTGGCTTGGCACATGTTGATTCCGAAGGAAAACCCAGAGAATTTGGAAAACTTGCATGGAAAACAAGAACATTGAAGAGCATCATCAAGGATCTTCGTCATGAGAAAGTATTAAATTTTATTTTTGTTTCCTATGTAGATTTCATCAAAGGCAGCCACATGCATGGCTGTCAAACAAATTAAGAATGTCGATAAATTGACGTAAATGAAGAAATGATTTATAGTACTACTTGCACAACAATTACATTATTTTGTAATTTGCCTCAACTTGGATAACGACAGTAAATTTTATATTGCTCATTCCCCTCTCATTCCCCTCACCCAAACTCAGAAAATGTAATAACATTTATGAAAATTAGGCCTAAGTCCTCCAAATTTACAAAGCCCATTGAATGTTAAAGAATGAGCATGAAGCATCTCTACTATAAATTTGTTGTGATTTCTACAGCATTGGAAAGTGTGAGGATAAATTGTTTTCAGTTTGAGGATAATTTTATAATCACCCACCTTACGTAGATTGCCTAGATGATGTTATTTTTGCAATTTTATTAACAAGGCGTAATATGTTTTCTTAATTCCTTATAAATTATTGAAACAGAGACTTTGTCGTGGTGACAAACTTAAAGATGGATTTTAAAATAGCAAATACCATGGTGAATGGTGATAATAATGTATTAGTTCTTAAGAACTGTTTTAACCAGAACCAACCTTAAATCAAAGGAACCGTTATTTACAGCTAGAAAGAGACACTATGCATTTCGGCAGACTACTCGTGGTGTCGTGATACTGTTTCTCAAACAAGCTACCATAGCATGGTTCCTGAATGTGTTGGGTTAGTGTTCTGGTTAAAACAGTTCTTTTAAGAACTATTGAATTATCAAACATATTACTATTGAAAATCCATCTTATCAAATGTTACTACAGTGTATAATCGATATGCTTATTTACAATATTTGCGATTGTTTTCACAAATTAAATGGGCTTTTGCGGTTGAATTTCGTACTAAAACCTCATAGTATTCCATTCTTAAAATTCAAACAATGTTTTATAGAATTTGATCGACGTTTTAAAGATGGACATAGAGTGCGATGAATGGCAATGTCTACCACAAATGTTGTTTGAAGGAACCTTAAAAAAATACGTTAAACAATTCAATGTAGAATTTCATGTTGTGTGATACTGCGTCTGGCATTCGTCGTTATGGTATAGTCAAGTGGCGACAGACAAGGGTTCAAAATTGCCCATGCACAAAAACATGTTCTGTTGGCAATGTTATGAAATAACGTATATAAATACAAATCTTATTAATCTTCCATTAAGATAAATGCCACTTGCTTATGTACATGAATATTTCCCTGTCATTTAATAATTTTATTTAGAGAATAATATAATGGTTACAATGCTTTTACGCATTTCTTGCAACTATGCTATTATCGGGGGCGTGGGTGGTTGCACGAAATCTGGATGTAGCGTGAGCCAACGAGTTTCCAAACTGTATGCGATTCATCGATATTTGTTTTGGCCATATCTTTAGGCTCCGTGTTGTTAATGGATTGTTTTTATTGTGGACTCGTCCTCGCTACAGCTTTATCGTCGTCAACATGAATGGAATCATGTTTTGTTTTGATCAACGAGTCCTCATCAAAACTCTCGAACGTACGCTGGGTGAACTACGTTCAATTTCATCAATGCTGTCTTCAACCTGCGCGTCGTTGTTTCTCCTCTGTCAAGCGATTTTTGTTTCACTGTTTCACTGTTTCATTATTCAACTCCACCAACTCTCCAAGTTCCGGTCATGAAACGACCAACTGAATGTACTAGTACCAATTATGGAGTAATTACCTCACTCAGTGACAAATTTTCAGATAAATCATCTGCGCATGCGCAGTTGACTTTACCAGCTGCTTTAAGTTCATGGTCATGTAGCGCGATAACTGCGCTTTACGCACGTACGTTATGAAGTAAATAGCATGCTCAGTAGCAATTTAATGAGAAAATCTGCGCATGCGGCATGCGCAGTCCATCGACTAATTGCTCATAGTCATGGCAACGACAAACTATATTGTTTTCGCATTTTGTCGCAATTAACTCAGTTAGTCGCGAATTATCATTGAAATCATTTGGGCATGCGCAGTAACAATAATCAATTATGCAAAACTTTCGTAAGCCTTTGAATTTG